GTTACATAAGTAAGGTATGAGTACATTTCCTATCATAATCAACACCAGAGCATCTTTAACAAACTCTTCTTCTGTAACAAGGGAAAATTTAGCTAAAAAGTTTGTTTTGATCCTGTTTGGCATAATAAGAACCTTCAAACTTTATATGTGACATGTGATGCATCTGGCTCATCACCATAGTTCCTTTCTACTCAGCACTGTTCATCTCAACTGTTCTTCCAGTTTTATATAGACAGCTCAAACTCATTATGACTTCTGGTGAGGATTGCAGGGTTTTTCTGCTCATTATTTATTACACATTTATTAGCACTAAATAGTTGTACAAGGACTTTCACTTTAACATGTCCATATATTTTATATCCCGTCATTGTCCCTCATCTCCCCTTCCTCCTTCCCAAAGCATTCTCAACAAGCTTTATTGTCCTGCTTTCCCATATGTAGATAAAGTAATTTAATTGTGCCCCTTCACCTTCTCCATTCACCCCCCTGTTGCTACTAGCAATCCTTTCCCAAACAGGACCTATTTTCTATCCTTCATTTATTTTTGTTTAGTGAATGTTAATTGTCCAAAGGGGTTTCACTGTGATCTTTCAGTAGTGCATATAAAGTATAGCACCAGAAGCTTGTATCTCATGAATTTCTCAAATGTACAAAATGAAATGAAGTGCTTTTATATGTGTCTTGTGAATCTCTGTATTGTCTCTTTTTGGTGGTTTTTCATATTTTTATCTTGAGCACATTTCTAAGCAACAGTTGCATCACAGCATTCTTCAATATTAAAAAGTCTTATCTTTTGAACAAGAATCAAGGCAATTCTGGGTTAGCAACATTACTACATTCCAGCCTTTTCTACATATTTCATAGAAGTAAAAGCCCCTTGCGTGATGTTATTCACAAGTAGCTGAGCTTTTACCCAAGTTATCCTCCATTGGTCCCTATGCAGATAAGTGTTATTGTTATATAGAATGGAAATTGTCCCAAAGAGCAATAAATAAACCCACTTAGTTATTATATCTATTTCATTCACTTTTTCTGTTGCAACAGCTTAAATGTCTTATTTTATGTAATTTATTAGTTTTCTTAACTGCATAATTTATCCTTCTATTCCATTTTCCCCTATACATTTAGTACTTAAAATTCTACAAAAAGAATTGACGATTTGATCATTTGGATGTACTTTGAGGTAGTTCTCAGCGAAGAACTAGCTAAAATGTGTGGTGTTAATTCTCTCACTGTGACAAGGGAGGCATCTTTCCTTATAATACTTAGCTGCCAGAGTTTTCCTGGATTCCTGACTTTACTTTTAGATGCAAAAGACTTCCTAGTGATGAATGCCTGAATCTAGTCTCTTGCCTTTGCCTTTGTCTTGCTTCTTGACTGACTCAGTTATTGGGGCCCTGTGTTGCTATGATGTCTGTTGTCCTGATGCCTGGTCAGACCTAACTTGCCTGCAGAGGACAATAAAGGTCAGGATCATCTGGTCTACCTTGCTTTTTATGTTTGGCTCATGCATCATTCTCAGATCTTCACATTCTCTCTGTTGATTTAATTATTGTTTTTGTTTTGTTTTGTTTTTTGGTGCTAGTCCTGGGGCTTGAACTTAGAGCCTTGGTGCTGTCCCTGAGCTTCTGTGCTCAAGGCTAACACACAACCATTTGAGCAACAGATCCAATTCTGGCTTTTTGCTTGTTTATTTGGAGATTAGGGTCTCATAGATTTATCTGTCCCAGCTGGCTTTGAACTACAGTCCTCAGATCTCAGCCTCCGGTAGTTAGAATTACATATTTGAGCCACTGACACCCAGCTTTTAATTACATTTTTTTAAAGTTAGTTTATCTGGTGTCTCTCATATACACTTGAACAAAGCACTGTCTTTCTGTTTCAGAAGTATAAGCAGCTTAGGAGAGATAAGTTTGGAAAAATGAATCCAAAATATTTTCCTGGCCAATGAAATAGCTGACAAGTAACAATAACTGACATTAACTTAAAACATCACATCCTGAGCCAGTCACCAGTGGCTCACACCTATAATCCCAGCTATTCAAGAGACTGAAATCTGCAAAGCAATGTGCTAATAGTAATATATAATGTAAGTGCTATCTGTAATATCCACCTGAAAGGTGACTTTTACCTCCCTAGAATAGGAGATATTTCAAAAGAACTTAATAATACAAATTCTCGTTAATATTCTCTACCTAATATTTCTACCTAAAATAACTTCTGAAATCTACTAATCCCAAAGATCCTAGTAATGAGAATCTCTGAACAACTCTTTGATAAGTATAGTTGCCCTCCTGACAGATACCCTTCTCTCTCATTTAGATTATAAATTCATAGAGGCCTGGGATCAGGTGTTTCTTATCTGTACTTAGTAATTCCCTATGGGTAAAACTGACCCAATTCTAACATTGTAATCTAATCACTAAGAAGTCCCTATGTTTGTTGAAGGTGATGGATAAGTCTTGCAAACTCCCTCATCCTAGTAGTGCTGTTTGTCCTGGACATCCCTATCAGCTTTCCTCCTCTGATCTCTGTTTCTATTCCACCTCAGTATACTCCTGCTCATATTCCTGGCTTGTCCCTCTTCTGTAGCATAGTAAATATACTTTTAAGATGATATCAAGACTTTAAGAATATGAGCTTTTCTTGTGGCAGGCTTATGACTAAACTAGGTGATATACATAGTGACAGAGAAGATTTGACCAACAGTAAAAGCCTTATCTGAGAGCACCCAAGTTAATCGTAAAGCACTGGTTGCATTGTGATTTTAAAAAGCTGAATATACATAGAAAAAATAGGGACCCACAAAATTATTCCTAATTGAAATCCTGTATATTATAAGGTTCTTATAGACATCATCATTTAATCTAAGTCAAGACTAACAGGAAATCTTGCTCCATTACTTGTTCAAAGACTCATTTATTCAACATTCAATGAATATTTCTTGATTTTATATTACATACCAGATATAGTCTAGATGCTGAGGACTTAGCCTTTACCCAGCACAAATTCTAACAAAAGTTGCAGTAAATACATATACTACTAACAAATCAAATCTCAGCCTGGGGTGACAGCAGTTAATTTCCTGATTCTTCCTCCTTCTCCAAGGCTGTCTCTACAAACTTGTTGCCTGTAGTGTTAAATATGATTTAGTCTTAAGTTACTACCCTCATCTAGGAAAAATTCATCTAAGAAAACACACATAAGGTCCTTGTTCTATAGAAGAGATGAGATGAAAGGCACTGGGGAAGGTCATTTCTCAGTGTTAAGCCTGAATTAAATGATTTTTACACTCAAAATCATAATGGTTATCATTCATTCAGCATGTATCTGTCAAGATTCTATTATGTTATGAGTTTTATAATTCCTACACCCTTCTTGAAAAGATAGACATAAAATAATTACTGATGTTTATTATTACTAACATTATTACTAAAAATGTTATAGTAAAAACTTAAGACAGCCAGGCGCTACTGGCTTACACCTGTAATCTTAGCTACTCAGGAGGCTGAGATATGAAGATCACAGTTCAAAGCCAGCCTGGTCAGGAAAAAGTCCATTAGACTCTTATTTCCAATTAGCCACCAGAAAAATGGAAGTATAGCTGTGGCTCAAAGTGGTAGAGCACCCTTGAGCAAAAGAACTTAGGGTCAGTCCCCAGGCCCTGAGTTCAAGCCCCCACCCCAAAAGAAACTTACAGTATGACAGACATAGTATTGAACTAGACAAATCCCTGCCCCCCTGACAGTAAGACAGACAAACATATTTTAGATAGTGATACATATCAAACCAAAATAAAGTAGATTAAGAATGAGAAACAAGGGATGCAGTTTAAATAGGGTATTCTCTGTCTAAGAAGAGAATATTTGAACAGAACTCTGAAATGAAAGAATGAGGCCAAAAACAGGGAGGCCATTTCAGGCTGACAGAATATCATGGACAAAGGCATAATGGGTATTAAAAACATGACATATCGTCGTAGGAGCACGAGGTAAGATGGAAGGATGATGGATGATTGATAGCAGGGAAGAAGCCCAATGGAGAAATGCTATGTATACTATGCTCAAGAATGTGAATGCCCCATTGTCAATTACTAGCTAGTAAGAAGACAATTACATTGATTATTTTTTGTTGGGTTGGATTGCCTTTGGACAAGATTTGGTCTAGTTTTTTGGAAAGATAGAGAGATAGAAATAACTAAAAGAAAAGGCCAAGAGGCCAACTATGTTGTTGTGATAATTCAGAGGAGAAGCTATGTGGCATAACTGAAATAGATAGAATGAATGTAGGGTGGAGATAGCAGAATTCATATGTTTTAGGAGACCCTGTATATAAGAGTAGACCTTAGATATTCTATGAAGTAGGAGGGAGGGAGGGAGGGAGAGAACACAAGGAAAGAAAGACAAAGAAAGAGGAGGAAGGAGGGAAGAAAGAAAGAAGGAAAGAAGAAAGAGAAGAACGAAAGAGAAGGAAGGAAGGAAGGAAGGAAAAGAAAGACTTACTGAGTTGAGAAACTGCCCTGTCAATGTCGATGACATAGTGTCATGTCATGGGGGTGGGGATAGAATGTGAGACAGCAAACTGATGTTAGCTCGAAATTCAAGCTAGGGTGGCTGGGTTAGGCCCAGGGTGCTTAGGCACAGCAAGCGAGGATGTGCACCCTGGGACTGGCTGTTGGCACTGTTTTGTCTATAAAGATAGACAGGTAATGAATTAAGAGGTGTTCACAGCCATGCCTACACCTTATTGGGAGTTGAAAGCAACGGCCGTGAGGAGTGAGCCTCTCTTCACCCTGAGGACCCAGGTTGTCACCAGTGCGAGTGTGCAAGATTTCCTCCAGACCACACCAACACTAACACCCTTGACCCGCAGCTCCGGCTTGCAGGGCCGTCTCCACCGGCTGGGGGGCGGGGCTCGAGGGCGAGGCTGGCGGCTGTTCCGAAGCCTCCTCGAGAGCCATCAGTTCGTACCAGACTCTGGCTGGGGGGTCGCTCTGCCCCATGGCCGGACTCAGGCCCTCAAACGTCTATCCCCTTCCAGGCAGCGGTGGGGGTGTCCCCGGAGGGGCCGTGCCTCTGCGGGTTGACACTCCAACCTGGCTGAGCACCCCTGCCACCCCTGGCAGGCTGGTGGTGCGGCCGGGGATGGGTCCTGGCATCTGCCGAGGCCCCGAGGTGTGGGGCCTGCCTCTTGGCCCCACACCTTACGAGTTCCTGGGCGAGATCGCACCCCGCGGAGCTGCTGAGGCTGGGGCATGGTTCCGAAGCCGCCCCGAGGGCGCCTGCCTGGGACCCTACATCGCCCTGCGGTGCATCCCAAAGCTGGCGGTGCCAGAGGACGTCTCGGCCATAGAGAAAGAGATGGAGCAGCTGGCCAAAGAGCTGAGGCAGAAGAGGCTGACCCTGGGGTACTCGCAGGCCGACGTGGGGTTCGCCGTGGGAGCTATGTTTGGGAAGGTCCTCAGCCAGACAACCATTTGCCGGTTCGAGGCCCAGCAGCTCAGCCTGGCCAACATGTGGAAGCTGCGGCCGCTGCTGAAGATGTGGCTAGAGGAAGTGGATGAGAAGAACCTTCTAGGCTTATGCAAAATGGATATGATTCTACAGCAGGGGCGGAAGCGGAGACGGGCCAGCCGGGAGAGACGGATCGGAATCAACCTGGAGAAACTCTTCCTGCAGTGCCCGAAGCCCACACCCCAGCAGATCAGCCGCATTGCTGGCCACCTACGACTGCAGAAGGACCTGGTCCAAGTTTGGTTCTACAACCGGAGCCAGATGGGCAGTTGGCCAACCACTGATGTCTCCCTGAGGGAGAATGTGGGGGCAGCCAGGCCTCCTTTGCCGGGACCACCGATGTGCTTTCCCCTGGCCCCCGGGTTCCACTTTGATTTCCACCACTATGGGGGTCCCTGCCTTACACCTCTGTACTCCTCTACTCACTTTCCTGCAGGAGGAACCCTTCTCTCTGCCCCAGCCACTACACTGGGCCTCCCCAGGCTTTCAAGCTGAGGGGTCTGCCCTGAGATATGGGTAGGTGGGTCCTCAGAGAAGAGGAGAAGGGAAGCATCCCTGGGGTTCATTTCAGCTTTTAGGGACTCCATTCGCTGTCTAAAGTTAAGCGTTCTTGGGGGGGGGATGAGGTTGGGATTTACAAAGAAAACTTGAGGGAGATGTTGAATTTTGTTGATTTTGTTGTTATTATTGTTGTTTTCTGTTTTTCTCTAGCATTGACATAAGGCATATTAAAGTATACACAGTTTTGATATTTTGTGGGGTTTGCTATTTTTTATTCAGTGAAAATGTGTCCGTTTTAGCTGGAGGCTAGTGGCTCACGCCTGTAATCCTAGCTACTCAAGAAGCTGAGATCTGAGGATTCCAGTTCCAAGCCAGCCCAGGCAGGAAAGTGTGGGAGACTCTTTATCTCCAGTTAACCAACAGAAAACCAGAAGCAGAGTGGTGGCTCAGTGGTAGAACTTTAGCCTTGATCACAAAAGCTCAAGAACAGCGCCCAGGCCCTGAGTTCAAGCCCCATGACCTGCCAAGAAAAAGTGTCAGTTGTTACTTGTGGTCATTAGGAAACAATTGTAAACTTTTTTTCCCCTACAAACACAATATTGAGTGGAAACTAAAGTCATGGAAAAATAGTATACTTCTTTTTTTTAAAGTAGAATTTTGTGCAAACAGAAAATCTTAGCTAATTTAATCCTTGGAGAAAGCTTGAGAATGGGATGGGAAGGAGTGTGCAGAGAGACGTTTTCTTCTTGTCTTAGGTCACTGAGGATACCGATAAGCAAGCTGTGAACACTGAGTCACCCCTCAATTGCTTATCATTACAAGCTAAGTGATTCATCACTTAACTATGGTTTCTCCCACTAAAATTCAGCAACACCAACCCCATTCCTTTCTTTCCTAGACTGTCCATCTGGCCGACCTGTGGAGGGCATTTCTGCAGTCAGAAGCCATAATGAACAACTGAGGTGGTGCTATGAGCACTCATAAGAGGCACTGACTCAGGCTGCTCTTGCCGCTCTGCAGCCTCTGCGAATGTGTAGAAATAGAGTGGGCTTGCAATGTCGGGTAGCTCTGCAGCTCTTTCTCAACATCTGTATGGCTGCACCATCATCATCTGAGAATATTTCTTTACCAAAATTTTCCTTTATGTAAGGAGGCACGTATTCTTAACCAGAAAACCTTGAACCCTTTTTAGAGTATAATCAAAATAATGTTTGTATATATGTATGTTGCAAAGTAGATTTCTAAATGAAAACAGCTTATTAACCTTTTTTCCATATATATTTTTATTGTAAAAATACTGTACCGAGGGGTTACAGTTATATGAGTAAGATAATGAGTACATTTCCTATCAAGCATTGTTACTTCCTCTTTTGTTTTTCCCCTAACATCCCTTCCCTCTCCACCTTCCCAATTCCTCCTCCCCCCCCCCACATTGTAATGTTTGTTTTCAACATAGTGTCCTGTACATTTCATTGTCATACTGGGTCAACCTGCATTCCCATTTAAGCATTCCGCTATATCCTTTACCTTACCCCCCACACACAAAAAAAAATTAGAAAAATGTATATACAAGATGCAGAACACCAGAATCAAATACAGTAAAAACCGGGGTTATACTGGGGAAGAACATACAAAAGAAATCAAAGAATCACAGAGTGAATTATAAGTACATTAAAAATAATAGCAAGAAAGAAAAAAACCACTTGTGTCCCTGGCTTGGGGTACATTTCATTTAACATCATCTCATATGGTCATATGTACATAACCTTTGACCTTCTCTGTTTATCCTAGACATGTACTAGTCATTGCAAACCATGGGACCTGTGTTTCTTTGGGCCTGGCTTACTTCAGTTAATATAATTTTTTCCAAGTCTTTCCATTTCCTAACAAAAGGAGCAATGTTGTACATTCTGATGGAGGCATAGAATTCCATTTTATAGATAGATAGATAGATAGATAGATAGATAGATAGATAGATAGATAGATAGATAGATAGATAAATATAGATATAGATATACCATATTATATATATATAATATATATATATACCACATTTTCTTGATCCATTCATCTACTGAGGGGCATCTGGGTTGGTTCCATATCTTAGCTATGGTGAATAATGCTGCGATAAACAGGGTTGTGCTGGCTTGTGATCGTTTGGGTAAGTACCCGAAAGTAGGATTGCTGGGTCATAGGGGAGCTCTGGTTTATTGGGGATAAGAGTCTCACAAACTTTCTTGACCAGGGTTGGCTTTGAACCATTATCCTCAGATCTCAGACTCCTGAGTAGCTAGGATTACAAGTGTGAGCCACCAGCACCCAGCTTAAACTTTTGAAAGTTTAAATGTATCTGTTGGTATTGTCGGCAATTTAATTATTTACACACGCGCGCACGCGTGTGTGTGTGTGTGTGTGTGTGTGTGTGTGATGTGTATGTTTGGGTACTGGGGTTTGAATTTAGGGCCTGGGTGCTGTCCCCGAGCTTAAGCCACTTCTGGCTTTTTTGTAGCTAATTGGAGATAAGAGTCTCAAATATTTTACTGTCTAGTCTTACTTCCAACTGTGATCCTCACATCTCAGCCTCCTGATTAACTAGAACTAAGAGCGTGAGCCGTTGACATCCAGCTCTTAGTGATTTTTTTTAGAATTTTTTCTGTATGAGGTTACAACCCCCCCCCAAAAAATCCAAGAAATAGTTTTTAAAGGAAGGCTTTAAGAAATCTGGAGTTCCAAAAGCTATCCTTTCCTCCAGCCTTTTATGTCAGTAAAATAGAAATTTCTCATTGTAAAGCAGTATTTCAGAAAGTCTAAGCTTTTCACTTTTAGTTACACTTGTAATTTTTAAAAGGAAGACAGTGCTCTCAACAGAGGCGTACTGAAACATATAAGCTAGAAGACATTGCTAAAACTTATTTTAGGATTTTTTAAAAAATCAGATGCCCATTAATGTTAAAGAGCTGTAGTGTAGCTTAGTAAGTGAAGACACCTGCCATATGTCTATTTTCCTGCACAATATGGGAATTTACAATTACAATAAGTGTGTTTATATACCTCTGTTTGGTTAGCCAATATTTAGGATATAATATAATCTAAACCATTTTTGTGTTTCTGGATGTTTATTTCCCAATTTTAGAATGTGTTTGAAAATATGGGAGTCCTGATTTTTATACTGTAGGATCTTCCCTGTGTGTCATTTTTTGAAGAAACCGAATGAATATCAGTGAAATCATGGATCTCTAAGTTGTAAGGCAGGGTCAGTTCCTATGCCTCTCTTTGAGAAGCATGTGCAGTGTGTCCAGGGAGGTATATAAGAAAACTCGTTTTTTTCTCATTTTAGAAAGGATGCTACCGCTCCTGGAATCACTTTAATACATTGAATATTATTGATTGAGCAGTCAAATGCCTAACATAAACCGTTCTAATTGAGAGAATTTGTAACATGGTTTGTTTTCTAGGACAACCAAACTACCAGAAATGAGGTTCCTCAAACAATAAATGAAGTTTCACCCAGGTCTAGAGGCTGGATAGCTGAGGTAAAGGTGTAGTGAGAGAAGCATACATTCCACTCTCTTCTACTTGAACATGGCTTTCTTCCCCTGCTTCTTCGTTCATATTGTCTTCTTCCTGCTTGTGGTTGTGTCCACATTTCCACATCTAAGGATGCAGGATTAGTGCAGCCCACCCTAATGACATCATTTTTCGATTATTTGCTTCTACAGATACTATCTCTAAAAATAGCCACACTCTGAGACACTGGGAACTAATTATAAGATGTCAGCATATATATATATATATATATATATATATATATATATATATATATATAGTGAAGAAATTACATCCTACCTAAAATTTTAGCTAAATTTCAATATTTCCTATAGATCCATTTAACCAACAATAAAAGTATTCTGTATAGCAGGTAGTGTCCTTGGTACTTAGATGCAATGGTAACATGTAGACATTAAGTAAGTAAACATGTGTTGACAACCTATAAGTTATAATCATAAGATATGGTAGTTGGGGTAATGTTTTTTTATATTTCTATTTATGGCCTTGTTATTATATAAGTATTGCCTCTGACAACATCAACTAATTTTTTAAAATGATAAACCTGAGACACCTACACCTACCTAGCCAAGGCCTAGAAAGAAGAGAGGCACTTATTTGTAGATCCTAGTCCCTACTATCTCTGTCACTTTGAATGAATTACTTCTTTTGGACTTTTTCTACTGAGTGGTCCACTGCATGAGGACTTCTCATTTACATAGGAAGTGATAACTTTATTCACATGCTGTTATTATTCCCTTTCTATGCTTATTTATAAATTCACTGATCACTTTTTTGTTTCCCTAGGGGAAGATGCTTATCAGTGTGTAGCGAAACTGAATAAATCAAAGAACAGAAAAATAGTAGAACCTTTAGTCTCAATTGCCAGAAAACTTAATATTTGATATTGGGAAGTGATATTCGAAGGTGGACAAAGTCATATCAAATATGCCTTAAAGGATTAATTCGTGGCTTGGCAGTACTGAAAGGTGGTAGAGCCTTGAGGAGGTGGGATCTAGGAGGAAGAAATCTTCTGGTCATCGAAGGCATGCCATGGAAGGGACAGTGAGGGCCGAAACCTTTCCTTTCCCTCTGCTTGCCTTCTGGCCATGAAGAGCAACTTTGCTTTACCATATGCTCTATCATGATATGCTACTTCGCCAAAGCCCTAAAGCAATAGGCTCACCTGATCATCATCTTCAAAATTATGTGCTATTATGTGTCAAATTATAAGTTGTTTCTCTCAATTTGTTACAGACATGGAAAGCTGATTAGCACAAATATCCATCCTACTTAGGTTATCTAAAGCCTACTATATCAGCTTACACCAAAGGTTAGCAATCAAAGTACCAATTAGGTAATTGGGAAAAAAAATAAGCTACTGTCACATTGTTTTAAGAGACTGAAAGTTGGTTCTTTATGAAAGCTTTGGGAGAAAAAGGCGTGTT